CTACGGGAAAGTAACGGTAATCTAATCACCGTTTTTGCAATAGTAATCCCTTACTTTACTCGTTACTTGAAAAAAGTAATCCGATTACAGTAACGCGCCCAACTCTGGTCTTAAGTGATGTCTTAGGAGGAGTCATAGTTGCAAAAATGGCATATGTTTTAATGGTTTCAAAATGAAACGTGAAAAATGAAAAAAATGAAAAAATGAAAAGTTAAACTGCCTGATATTTGCAGTTTAAGAGGTTTAATTATTGTTGCATCTATGTTAAAATATTGAGTGAAAGCCAGTATATTTTTCTTGGCTATGCAGAGCAGATCAGCTAAGTTTTATTGTTTATCCTTGTCTGTTGTATGCAGAAGAAAGGGGTATTTGCAAAATTTAAATACTTTGTGAAGTTGAAATGTGACAAGACAAATATATATACATTTTATATCTAACAATGTAGACAACCACCCCCCTAAAAAACAAAAAGCAAAGGCAAAAACAAAACACACACACTTACTTCAGAGCTCCAAACATCAATGCCCTTTTACAAATGACACTATATCCTTGATATAATGTTTCCTTAAACCATCCATGTGGGATTTTCTTTTGAAAATTAGATTTTTCCTATAAATTACCTAAAGGTAATTTGCCTTGAAAAGCAAACAATTTAATTGTTTGACTGTGGAAATGCTGATCATTTTAGTGCAACTTTTGCACTTAACTAGAAAGCAAACAAGCTCGTGCAGAATGTTTGTCAGGCCAAAATGGTATACACTGTAATCATACACTGTTGAGTATTAATGTGGCGGAGGTCTGATCCTCCGCCACATTAATAGGCTGTGGCGGAGGCTGCAGGGAAGGTGTGGTGCAGTGAGCTCAACCAGGGAGGTTGGAGGCACAGGTGAAGGTTATTCATCTAATGAGGTCTTTCCTTCTTTATAGTGATGTCAGACACCAGAAGGAGAGAGGTGTGTGGGAGGTCAGGTGAAAAGCTGGGACGCTGGTGCCAAAGCTGAGTGCTTCTGTGTGTAGCATAAATAAAAATTATAAACAACTGTCAGAACACTGTGTGGGGTCAGAATTATTCACAATTAATTATTAATTAAATTGTTTTGGTGATCATATGAAAAGTCACACTGTTTACCAGCCAGTGTTAATTCTGACTCACCACAATGTCCATATAGCATTTGTGGGGCTTAGTATGAAAAACATTGGATACATTATTAAGGGTTAAAAGTGGTGTTTATCCTTCTGACCAGAAAAGATATATACTGATATGTTTCTCCATATTCAATCCAACAGTTGATGCTCAAGTGCTCAAGGCACAGACATGAAATTCGGTGAAAAGAAACAAAGAAAAAGTAATTCACTCTGCCTCTTTTATTTTCTTTACTCTGTGAAGATAGGGGCTGGTATAAGACCTTTTTTCTAATCCATCCATCCATCCATTCACTTTCGCTTATCCTTTTCAGGGTCGCGGGGGGCGCTGGAGCCTATCCCAGCTGTCATAGGGCGAGAGGCGGGGTACACCCTGGACAGGTCGCCAGTCTGTCGCAGGGCCAACACACAGGGACAGACAACCATTCGCACTCACATTCATTCATGATGGTGGAATTGAACTCAGGACCTTCTTGCTGTGCGGCAACAGTGCTAACCACCATGCCACCGTACTGCCCTTTTTTCTAATGATTATTCTAAAGAAATTGGATCACTGCTGTAAAACTGCATTATACAGTAGTTACTGGGCATGATGTTACAATATAATTTTTTTGATACATGTGAAAAGGTGAAAAAAATGACCCAGAAATGTCAAGTATCTCAACAACAACTGATACGCGCACACTCAGACACACACAGACATACAGTCACAGACATAGCTTGTGTCCATTTAAATGGACAAAAAATGGATTAAAAAAAAAAAGTAGCAATCCTTGCTACTTTGGGTAGTAAACAGCCACAACCAACTACACCCATCCACTGCAGCTGACCCAACTCACACTCTACCACCTGAATAAGATACTTGCACTGTGACTCTCACTGTGACATCGTTACCAAAAATATACAAAGAGGTTATATCAGGTAGTTACATTTTAGCATGCAAATTAAGTTTCTGACTTTAATTTAAATTGAATGATATATTTATCGTTTTCATAATTAAATCCCAGCATAGCGTTTCCACAATGCTGATCCTTAAGTTCCCACCCACATGACTACATGGTATCAAAAACAACCACATAGAAAAAAAAACAGAACTTAATTTTTCACTCCTGTCTTTTAAGTGTAGATATTGACTCTGCTTGCAGATAAGGCTTTCTATACAACACATTTTCCTGCAGAGCTAGATATATATAATGAATCCAACATCTATTTTCATGTGGCTGCATCAGAAAACATTGCATCTTTTTCTATCTAAAAGGAGAGGCACTTAGTCTTAAAACATCGCAAAGAAGTCTGTAAGAAACATTAGACCTGAAACAATGGCAAACTGTAAGCAGTTCACATAAAACACTCCTTTGTTTTTCCTCATATTGTATAAAATGTGCACAATGGAGAAAGAACATCAAGGAAAGGAAAGGAAAATTTGAGGTAAAAAAAATCCCAACAACAATCAAACAAACAAACAAAACTATTTCCACTACCACGCGCTATCTCATTCCTAAATTCTGCAGCGGTATGAATTCCATCTTTTCCACTGAGGGAATGTTGAAAAGGATTAGGCATCATCATGGAATGGTAAAGTCCAAAGCTAAAGACAGCACAGCTATCTGTACAGTGTCATGTCTGAGGTTTTCAAATACCATTTCATTAAACTACTGACTTGATTTTTGTCCTGATCCTGTGACTTACAGTGTTGACACCACCATCTGACTCTGAAATGCAACAACTGACAGCAAGTAATGGTCATAGCCTCCTGAGAACCTCTTTCAGTTTAACTTATTTTTGTGTGATTCCCTGCCTCTTTGGAGCTAAATTGGAGTGGCCAGGATGTCCTCTCTTGAGAACTTAGTAGGGTAGCTCAAATAGGTTAAATCAAATGTCCATTACAAAGGACATAAATGAATAGGTTGGGTCTCCAGAGAATATTGTAATATCACAAATGATTTACAATGCATATGACATATTATAAAATATCTTGTTATAATGCAGAGTTGAAAGTTGGAGTTTTTTGGTTAATTGTTTGACTAAATAAAGAGATATGTTAATTACAATTTTCTTGGCCAATTCCAATTTCCTATATTTTTATGACGTTGATGCATGTGCAAATGTGTATTTGCTTAGGCCTTTAAGTTCATCCTTTGTGTTCTTTAAGTTCAGCTGAATTGCTTGTTGTTATTAATTCGAATTCTGAACATGTGGCTGATATTTTGTGAAACTGTATAAAATAACCACAACAAATGATTAGTATTATTATTATTCACATTAAATAATAATGTGAATAATGTGTCCATCAAAGCCTGTCCATCAAATGGGAAGGATATGTATAGGTGTAGTATACACTACAGTTGAGCATTGGGTCTCATGGCTCTCATTGACAAGTGCATTAAGCAGTTATCTGTTAAACTCATTGAGCACTACCTGTTTGGCAGCAGGCACAACTACAGACTAGATAATAAATTAGTGGAGCATTTAAAAAAAGAAACAACAACAACAAAAATAAACTGAATCTTGTCTAGGATAACAGATCAGCAATCACAAATAACAAGAAACGAAGCAGCAGAATAAATTAGTATTCATTACTAAGCGGGTGCTATAGCTCAAGAGGCAGAGCGGGTCATCTGTAAAGCAGACGGTTTGCATTTTGATCTGTGGCTGTTCCAATCTGCATGCCAAATATCTTTGGGCACAATACTAGCACTAAGTTGCTCTCCCATGGATCTATTGGAGGGAATGTTAGATAGAAAGCACTTGCATACAAAAAGCATGGGAAAAAAGTAGAAGTATGAATGGGTGAATGCGGTAAGTTGCATAACTACTATATATGCTTTAAATGCTCGGGAAGAGTAGAAAAGCGCTATTTGAGAAGAACCAGGTCATTTACCATTTCCAAGTTATTACCTCAATATATATATACATATATATATATATATACTTTCCATATAATATATATATATATTGTATGGAAAGTTGCTTCAGGATCAGTATGGTGGTGTCAGTAGCAAATCAAAAACAGACACTGTAAGACATTTGATATTGACAAAAAGTCTGCCTTTCTGCTACAAGCGCTTTGACAAAGAGGATACTTTTCTATTCACTTTCAAATATTACCCCCTTAAAGCATTCTCCTCAGATGTTCTCCATAACTTAAGATCTCCAAGTTAGGATTACAATAAAGCATTAAAACACACACAGTGATGCTGTAAACTAAAGCCTTCAAAGAAGATGATAAAACTCATCACAATTCCTCAAAAATGCATTAAAAAGGTTTGTTTAAAGCCATGCTAGCACCATTCATCCTTTACTGCCTCCTGGTAACACCTGGGTGGCCTGATGCCAGAGCCTGGGCTGGTGCTACCCCCAAAGCTGATGTGGTACCCATTGGGCATACCAATGTTCTGTTGTTTAGCAGGAGACAAGGCTCCCATCATGTGAGGCAGTGCGTTCCAAGAGGAGTGTTCAGCACAGGGGCTGGGAGACAGCGCCGCCATATCCTGGAAGACTTGCAGCTGGTCCCGGAGGCTGCCATAAAGGCTACCCAGAGCCTTGCCCTGGCCCAGGAAGGGCTCTGAGCTGATACGAGTGACGGGGCAGGGGAAGTGGTGAGAGCCGCTGTAACGGAGGCCATTGTGCTCTGAGAGGCCACGGCTTAGCCGGCTGGGACTCAGAGAGGTCTGGCTGGACACAAAATGCACAGGAGAGGAATTGGCAGTCTTGTAAGCCACCCCGGGTCGCGGGGTGTGGGGGATCTTGGGGAGCTGCCGACGTCCACGGCTTGACGTGCTAGTATTGGAGCTCAGTGCCACTGGGCTGCCTTTAACCCAACCACTGCCCTAGATGAAAATTGGACAAGCAATTTGAAATGATGAGGAAAAAGAAAATATGCCAGAGAAGAAAGGAAAATGGGAAGAATATGTATAAGTACAGAGCCACCCAAGGGAAGAAAAGAAAAGAAAGACACCAAAATACATGTACATGGTAAGATAACAGCAAACATAAGAGGGACAGAGAAGACAAAAATAAAGACGCACAAATGGATAGATAATCACAGAGGGACATGATGAAAAAGACAAAGTGGGAAGAAAAGCGAAAGGTCATGAGAGGCTATACTGAAAGCAGACAGAAAAGAAAGCACTAAAAACATGCAGAGCAATCACAACAGTCTGCATTTAATTTCTGCTTGTCTATATCACACATTTGCTGATGCTCTGTAATATATATGGTAATGTGACAAAAAGCAGTCTTTTATTCTGCTTTTATTCAAATATATCGAGTCAATTCAACTTGACTTAAGTAATGCAAAGTTTACAGTGGAACACATATTCACTGCAAGAGTAAGTGTCTACAGGCATCTGTAAAGTATGGTCATGGTTTGGGGTTGCATTTTAGCTAATGGTGTTGGAGATCTTGTTAAAACTGATGGAATTATGAGAGCAGAAAAGCAGAGCCAGATTTTGATGCAATTTGCAACAAAATCTTAAAATCTTCTGAATGGCAAGAGCGTCATCTTTTAGCATGAAAATGGTCCCAGATATACTGCCAATGCAGTAAAAGCAAAGCAGGACTCCATGCCTCCACAGAGCCTGGACTTCAACAATACTGAAGTGAAGTTTGATCATCTTGGAAATAACTGAAAAAAAAAAACAGGTCAAGAAAGCTGGAGAACTATTCCTGAAGAATACTTAAGAAATGAAAAGAATCAAGTTTTGTAGGGAACATTTAGACATTAGTACAAAATACTGAGTTCTAAGCTTGTTTTAACTGTACAAACACTATTTTGCCATATATACTGTATTTCCATCTTTGTATGTTTCAATAAATTACTACTCTTATTTAAAATTTTCTTGCAAAATATAAAGAAATGAAGGGTGGCTCAAGACTTTTACTATATATTGTATTTATATTAAATGCTGATATTGATAAGTTAATATTTTTCGCCGGCACTAATTGACTTGTAACACCCAGCTGAAATGGAAAAGGTTCCCAGTTATCTAAAATACATGCACAGGTTAAGTGTATATGATGTAAAAACTGTCAGATAACACTATGTGGATAAATAGTGTTATGCTTTGCTATTCTTTAAAGTTTCCAGTTTGCATTGGGTTTTTTTTCTCGCTTTTCTTAATCTCACTTATCTGTTACCTCATTGATTCTCACTGTGTTCTGCACTCTTTCATTCATCCTTCTTACCAGTGGAAGTTGTGGTAAGAGACTTTTTCAATGTAAACCTTTATTTTTCAGATTAAGTCAACTAATTTATTTTCAAATTGCTCTAAATTCCACCATTTCATGTCCTACTCAATCAGATCAGCTTGTGCCTCTCTTGCTTTTAAGGGAGCAATACAGACGTACTAGACAGCACGTCTTTCATATCAGGCTCTTTTAATCACATTTTTACTTCACTTGAAACAATCTATAAATGTACCTTCACATATTTTAGCTAAAAAAAACAAACTCTGCAGTTTACTTATTTTAGTTTCTTCCTGTAAGTCCATTACCTGCATGAGGCGCACTAGGGGTTGGGTTCAATGTCTGTCACACAGCAGTCAAGGTTGGGGGCCCTGCTTGTCCAATCCCTGGCTATCAAGGCTGGATATTGGAACACAAAATGTCACCTTTCTGGTGGGGAAGGAGCCTGAACTAGTGCTAGAGGTTGAGAGATACTTAAATATATTTGGGGTCACCTCAACGCACTGCTCAGGTTCTGGAACCAGTCTCCTGGAGAGGGACTAGGCTCGATTACAGTCTGAAGTTTCCCTTGATGAGTGACAGCAGGCTGAGGTGGGTATTATCATTTCCACTTGGCTAGCTACTGGTACATAGGGTTTTAACGGTGGATTACAGAGCTGTTTCCTTGTGCCATTGACTCAGGAACAGGTCTAGACTGTCGTTTGCACTTATGCAACTGTTCAGAGTACCCAGACTTCTTGGATTCACTAGGTGGGGTGCTCAATGGTGCTCTATCTGGTGAATGTCATCCTACTGGGAGACTGCAACACTCATGTGGCAAATGACAACAAGACCAGGAATGGCACTATGATCGAAAGAATGAGATCACGGGTACAAACAGCTTTCTCTGAAAGGTAGCTGGCCTCTCCCTTAGAAATAGAGTGAGGAGTTCAGCCATCTGAGAGAGGCCCAGACTAGAGCTGCTACTCTTCCACATCAAAATGACCCAGTTGAGGTGGTTTGGGCATCTGTCAAGAATGCCTCCTGGGCACCTTCTCTGTGAGTTTCTTCGGGCATGTTCCACTGGAGGCAGAACCAGGATATGCTTGAGAGATTCCATCTCTTAGCTGGCCTAAAAACATCTTGGTGTTCCCCAGAATAAGCTGGAGAAGGTGCCTGGGGAGAGGAATACCTGGGCATCTGTGCTTAGACTCCTGTCCCCACAACCCAGTCCCGGATAAGTGGAAGAAAATAGATGGATGGACAGACAGGCAGATGGACCCAGGATGATAGCACACTTTTCCTCCTGAGTTATCAAATTAGATTATTTAACATTAACACCAAGCTGGATAAGGCATGTTGTATAAATGCTGTATGGCTGTCTTCTGAAAGTTGATCCTACAGTCAAATATTCCTGTGGTAACATTGACTGTACTTGTGAGTATATGTTACGAGAAGCTGGACTGTGTAATACTCTAGAGTGTGACATATGTCCATGGCTAAAAGAAGTGAGTTGCCCAAGCCATTCTTATCATTGAAGACAGGGGCCAAATCATAGGTATAAAACAATCCAAACCGTATAGTTGCATTTATAAATTCTTTCAAAAGAAAGTAAAAATGGGGATAAAAGAGCCTGATTTGAATAAAAATAGAAAAATATATTATCCTACGTGTTGGCCCCCCTAAAGCAACAAATACCTGAATCGTCATTATGGAAAGCCCAAGTCGATTTGAATGATGAGTAGGAGGAGAAATGGTGGAAAATGGGGGGATTTGCAAAAAAAGAAGACACCTTAAGCTAAACTAACAAGAATGACATTAAAAAATGAAAGCTCAAAGATGACCTTAGTCAAAAAGAACATGCTTGCCCACCTGCTTGTTGCTGGTTTCCAGCCCTTCACTTGGAGAGCCAGCACAGCTGGCGGTGGAAGATTTCGAGTGGCACTGTCCCCGGCTGCAATAGCGGTCACAGGAGTAGTAGCGCTGTTTGTCTGCAGAGGAATGATGGTGTTTCCTTTCATGGGAGCGTCCACGGTCGTGGGCTCGCTCTCTGGAGGCTGTTGTTTCCGATGCTGGCTCACCCACTGCAGCTGTGAAGGAAGAAAATATTGCTGGGTGTTTCTGACAAGTCCTAAGATTTTCTTACTCCCCAGTGTTTAATACAGTGTTTCAGTAGGGGTAAAGATTCTAACAGTCATGACAGAAACAGCATAGGTCATTTCTAATCTAATTAACGATTAAGCATTTAATAGGTTAGAATTAGTTTGGAATGGAAAGGCCTTAATCAGAGAGATGACTCTGACAGAGCTCCAGAGTTGCTCTGTTGAGTGAAAACAGTCTTCCAGAAGGACAACCATTTCTGCACCATTCTACCAAGAGGCAGATAGTTGCTGGATAGCGTAGTGGGCTACTGGAACAAGGAGGCATAAGTGGGCAGAGATGGGTAGTAACGCGTTACTTGTAACTGTAATCCAATTACTTTTTCAAGTAACGAGTAAAGTAAGGGATTACTATTGCAAAAAAGTACTGACCTTATTTTGAGTTTGATTCCATAAAAAGTGACAAAAACATTAGTGTCCGCTGTGCGTGGGAAGAAAACTTCTTTTTAGAGCGAAAAAAAACCCCTAAACTTCCAAGCAAACACCGAGTGCGCTACGACGTAATGGAAAATTCACAGAGAAACTCGTGGATTCTTCCACTGACTGCTGCGGCACACTGCACCAGGGTAAACCTGTTTTAAAAAAGGGACCTTTCCATTTGATTACATTTTGTATGATGGATTATGCAGAAAAAGTAGAATTGGGCTGAAAAATCTATCGCTTTATAACCTATTCAGGTTGTAAATCGTGTTTTTAAAAAGTAACTAAGTAACTAAGTAATTAATTACTTTTGAAAATAAGTAATCAGTAAAGTAACGGGATTACTTTTAATTCGTTACTGTAAGTGGGCAAGAAATAAAGAAATAAAAAACAGGGTGCTGTTGCAATGTTACTACATAAGTAACCCCAGCAGTTTGAACAGGATGAGGGGCTTATGGAATCTTTGATATCCAGCATCCAGCATTGACGGCGAAACAACTGGTGTTCCAACATTCAGAAGAAGGACCTACTCTCATGGCTAGAGATTGCAACAGCAAGGGGGAGGCAGGACGACAGGTATCATCACCCCCACCCGAGATTGGGTACCAAGTGCACTGGAAAAAGGATCTTTGAGTGCAAGAGGATCACAGTGAAGCTTGAAACCTGGATGTTTCCACAACACAACCTCAGAAATGTGCATTTCTTAACTGTACGTGCAATATCTGCATTATAATCAGACTCCTGTGCATGTAGAAGTATATATAGAAGAGAAGTGTAGTCGGATGGTAACGGAGAGAGGGAAGGTAGTCAGGAGATTGAACTACCAGAAGGCAACTTTGCAACGTGTTCTAGTAATAGAAGGGGCTACCGTTTTTTGTTTTTGTTTTTTTCAATTATTCAGAAAAGGTATATGATAATATTGATAAAAGGTATATGATAATATATAACAGGACTAATGGGACAGTAGTACAGAGGTTTCAGAAGTTGCTTTAGAACTCTTCTGTTCTTTAAGATTCCAGTGTCCTTTTTTAGTATTTCTACTGCTGTACAGCAAATACAGCAGAATAACTGCTAATTAATTCACCAAATTTCTTTTTCCAAATTGTAAATAAATATGGTTTAAAACAGTGCTTTATGATGCTAACATGATTTACTTGGCCAACCAAGGTTGTGGCAGTACTGCTTTGAAAGTGGATACTTACATAAGTATCCACTTTAATCTAAGTATCTAGATTTAATTGTGCAAATTTAATTGTTTTAACCCTTAGCTTCTGACAGAGCAACCTTGGAAGCAATAACAGGAGTGATCTGCTACAGTCAGAGAAGTACTACTGCTCAGTGGAGGGCTCATGGTTAGGAAAGAAGGGAAGCTGAGCTCCTGAAAAGTCGCAGAATTCAGGACTTCAACAAAACTCGGACAAAGTGGTAACTAACCGTTTGATGGATGTTGCTCTTGTTTTGTCCTTTTTTTTGACTTTACTAATTTTCTGTGCTTGTTCTTTTGAAACTCCTCACACTTATATGTTTAGATTTTATGCTTTATTTATAGTGTGTTGGTTTTTATTGAGGGGTTATTGAGATCAAAATCCTCCTGATCTCCTCAGCAGTGTGTCCCCCTCCATGCCAGAGAGCTAGCAATTATTTCCCCCCACTGTACATTAAAATCAAGAAGCATTTTTTGTCAAATGTTTCGTTAAAATCAGAGGTTTTTATAGGTGACTTAAGTTAAGTCCCTAATATTCTTTCCAATAATGTGTTTTATTGTTTTCCCCTTGTATTTAACTATATTAAACTGACAGTACATGTTATATTTGAAGTAGTATGTAAGAAGCGGGTAAGATGCTAGAGCAGGGGTCCCCAATCCCAGTCCATGAGGGCCGCTGTCCCTACAAGTTTTAGATCTCACCCTGGGTCAACACATCTGAATCACATGATTAGTTCATTACCAGGCCTCTGGAGAACTTCAAGACATGTTGAGGAGGTCATTTAGCCATTTAAATCAGCTGTGATGGATCAAGCACACATCTAAAACCTGCAGGGACACCGGCCCTCGTGGACTGGGATTGGGGACCCCTGTGCTAGAGAGCTGCCCTTCTTGTCAAAAGGGGTCAGAATCTGAAACCTTTGATTCAGAATATGAATGAGTATCTTTTTACATTTGAACAGGTAAATATCTGTCAAGAAGAGATATTTCAGTGACTATGTTGCAATGCAATCTACTGTAAGACAGATGACAAGAGTCTGAACTACTTTGGTGAGCCTTTAGTCAGTGCAAACCAACTGCCACTAAGCAGCAAAAAACTTATGGCAAAGTGGAAACGCTAACCTGATGGTGGCATCGAAGAAAATCGGAGGATTTCTTGATTGTTTATTTATTCATTTATCTATCGTTTTCCCGAACTGCAAATTGCTTTGTTAACTAGTAAAAGTTGCATTTCCTGCAAAAATACTGGATGAATGCCATGTAGTGGAAATCATGTGCCAAAAACAGCTGAAGAAGCGGAACTATCTGCTTTATTTCAAAGGGTACACTGAAGAGGAGCGAGAAAGAAAAAAAAAGCAGAAGGAGCGAGAGCGGGAAAGAAATGCGGCAACAACCACAAGTAGGATTCAAACCTGTGCTGCCCACTCTCAGGGCACCTGCTCATCTCAGTGAGGCAAAGACAGATTTCCTATCCTGAAACAAACGTAATTCATGGGAAAACGGTAAACGGTATGAAAAAAAATTATTTTACCGTGACCGTCAGGAGTGTCTGAAGATATTGGCACAAGGCTCATGTCTCTGGAGTCCCCGGTTTAGAAGATATGACGAGTTGAAAAGTTAAAAAGCTTAATATTTAAAAATGCATAAAAGTTATGAGCACCAAAAGATAGAGCTGCAGGGCTCTAGACTAACTTTTTCCATGGTTACACTGGTGCGCCTAACTTTTTTGTTAGATGCAGATAGTCATTCATATTCTGAATCAAAGGTTTCACAAAAGTTTAGGTGCACACAAATTTTTCAACAACATCGCTTAACACTGTAGTTTTACATGTGCACTTTAAAAAAAATAAAATAATACAGGCAATATCGATATAGGCAATATCGATGCTTAAATTATTAACTAACAGTCTTGTCAACACAAAGTTCTTTATTTGGAGCACCATTCTACAAGAAAGATAAGTTACTGAAAGTCCTTGTTCTTAAAGTGCTTTGGCAGTCTTTGGCAGTAGTAGACATTGTAGACAATGTTAAACTTAATCATCATCTCGGCCTCTGATGATCTGTTTGCTGCTGCCTGCCGCTGAAAGGGAGTGGGGAGAGGGGACACTTGTTTTGCAATTTGGCATCATTTTAAAAAAGTTTACATTTCTTCGCTATTAAACAGCAGAAATTTGGCTTTCTTGTTGGAGGTCATTTTTGGAGAAAAACAAAACAGCAGCCGACAGCACTGTACATGACTTGTGCTTAATAATCGAATGAATAATGCAGAAAACAGAGATTTGAGAAAGAAAACTGTTCTAGAAGTACACCGAGAGAGAAAAAGCACTGTGCAGCAAGTGTGATTTTATTGTGGCGGAAGCAAAACAGCAAAAGTAAGAGGGAATTCATGATGATGTTTATCAAATGTGAAGACAAGTTTTGATCTTCTTTTGCTGCTGCAGTCAATTTTGGTTGGAGAGTGACAAAACCTGCAGCATCATAATCTAGCGCAAAAAAAGACGTAAACACAAAGCATGGACCCGACGCATCAGAATCAGTAAGCTGTCAGCTTTCAGCATCAACGCGTCCATGTACATGTCGTCAGGTGATAAAGCTGACATTTCACTGATGTGTCGGGGCCGCATTCTGTGTTTACGTCTTTGAGTGGAATCCGTTTAGCTGTTCTCATTTACTGTTAGCTTGTTGGTGGTTGTTGAAATAGTTTTGTGAGGTTTAAACTGAGATTCTGGCCTTTCTGGTAAAATACATTTATATTTAAAAGTTGATTCAGGATTCAATGAATCGATATCACTTTATTCAAGCTGCTCACCTCTCTCTATCCGCCTGCACTTTCAAAAGTACACACTGACTATCTCTGATTGGTTTAAACCATGTTATGGGCATAATGTGTGTCTACTGTTGACCACGCAGAGACTTCCAGAGTTGCGGAGACCTTTTTTTGTACTAAACAGCTGGTTGCACCAGTGCGACCTAGGATTTTTTTTAGTCACACTATTGAGAAATTAAGTCGCATAAGCGACCAAATTGGTCACACTCTAGAGCCCTGTAGCTGGCATTAGCAGAAATAGCAGAACAGTTTAAAATTTGAATGGTGAAAATAGCACAAAAACTGTGGGAGTAGTTAAGTGTCAAAGATGAAAGAAACAGGAACTCAGTAGGTTGAGTGAACCTATTGACCTTCACCAAAGTGATGCTCACCCAATGAGCTTACTTAGGTGATGTTAACAGAAAACATTGTGATTCCACTGACATGCAGATTAGACTATGAAAGTCTGGATATCTGGAATACGTGTCATTTTCTGCTTCTAAGTTTTATTTTTGACCCAAATGTCTGTCTCCTTTAACTTGCATGTTAAAGAAACAAGACTGCCTTATTTCATCTGTGCAATACTATCAAAATAAGGAACACATTTTAGTAATGCCGAAAAACTAGGATGTGAGGGAGGCTATATGTCTTCCTTTTAAGCTTCACTTTATTGGCTCTCTATTTTAAGTCGTTATCATTTATCGTAAATAAATCCTAATAAATCTCCCCAAATCCTTTTGCTCTCAGACTGCAGGTATACCTGTAGTTCACAGAGCATTCCAAAGTAGAATGGGAAGCAGAGTCTTCATCTTGGACACTAAGATTGCTGGGGATCACAATCCACTGTGCACTGCTCCTCCAGATCCTTTGTTTCACCGCTTTTTTATTCTCCTACTGCTCTAGAGGTTTTTTCTGGTTAAAAGGGACTTCTTCAACCCCATCGTCACCCAAGTCCTTGTTCTTAGTGAGTAGCTGGGGCGCTTGCTAATATTGCAGATCACGCGTCCTATAATATAAAGCCCCTTAAAGGAAACTATTGTTATGAGTTGGCACCATATAAATGAATTGCAACTGAACTAAAAACAATCACATAAAATTATAGGATAGCATGATGAGACAGTCCAATACTAAGTGGGACTAGATGATACTGAATGTCTTTGTACACTGTGATTTTGATAGTGCTTGTGAATAAATTCTGACTGACTTTACCAGCAGAACCGGGAGGTTGACCTGCCAAAGGTGCATCTAAAGACCTCTGTCTGTTCTCTCTGTCTCGGTCTCTACGGTGGTGGCAGCGACGGTGATGGTGGTGGGTTCTCTCCTGGCTTGGTTTTTCCAGGGTGTAGTCTCTTAAATTGACCTCTTGGGGCCGCTGTGGGGTCACAGTTGAGGCTGAGCGCTTCATAGGGCTGGCATCAGGGACAGACTGAAGGAGAAAGACGGATAGAGAAAGCCAGTCAGCAATACATTTTAGAGTTGTTTTTCCCCACAGCTTCATGTAACAACTGCATCTAATTATTTAATCCACACAGTAATTGCCCACTGCTTAATCTGATGAAGAAAATACATTACAGCACAAATGTAATCATTTGTGTTGTGTTTTAGAATAATTGACTGTTGTCCCACATGACACAACAAAGGGAGTGAAAACATTTTACATTTAGCTAAAGAATGCATCAGTATTAGGAGCACAGGGCCAATCTGCCCATACAAGTCTGTCTTAGTAAATAGTAAGTAAGTATCAAGATGAGATAAGATAAGATAAGATAAGACTTTATTGATCCCACGACGAGGAAATTAAAGGCAAAGGACCAGGTGTTTCACTCATACCAGTAGGAGCTAATTCATTCAGCTGATTAACCTATTTTAAGATAGAATTAGTTTCAGGTTTTATAACATTCTGTAGACTTTTCACATATATGGAACACCCAACTGGAATGATCTGTAACAGAAAATTTATTTTTAAAAAAAAGTCAAAATTAATAGTGAAGGGTGAATAAGACTTTTTAAGAGACATCTTCTAGTTCCAGAAAAAAAAAACCCCTCTGTATTTAGCAATAGCTAAAAAAAAAAACAAACTGATTTTCAGAGGTCAGAAATAACAAAGTACACTAATGTGTAAAGTACAGATATCTAAAATTTCTACTTAAGTATTTATTTTTTTGACTACTTTTTTGCTTTTACTCCCTACATTTTTAAACAAATATCTTTACTTTCTACTCCTTTAACTGATCAAACACACACACCCATACATATGCAATAATACTAAGTGCAATAATCCTTTCTGTCATCGTTGTATTTTTACTCAGTTTATATAGCATTTGTATTTGTATTCTATTTTTATCTTATTGTATATTTATTTTATTTTATTCTACTGTATATAGTATTTTATTTTATTCTATTCTGTACAGTTGTGTACTGTATTTATTCTTATTGTATCCTAATTTTTGCCTCATAACTTTTGCACTGTCCACTTCCTGCTGTGACAAAACAAATTTCCCACGTGTGGGACTAATAAAGGTTATCTTATCTTATCTTATCTTACATTTTAAAACCAGGCTCATTAATTTTGTTTTAACACATTTGAGGGGTATTATCATTTTGTCACTGCAAGTCTTCAAACATCAAACTAATTTGAACCTAAACAGTAACAAATGAATTGCAGTCCTGTTCATTTATTAATTAACAGGGGATGTTGCATTAAAAGAGATGACATGTGCCAAAGTCAGAGGTGTCAGTGTTTTGTTTTTGTTTTTTTTTTGCTTCAGGTAATTTCAAAGGCAACGTTTCTATCAGCTCAACAAATATCAGCAAACACAGAAACTCTTTGTGTGAAGTTTGTCTCACAATGTGTAGCTAGCTTTAGCTAACACTGTTTTTTAAATGAAGAGATGGAGCTAAGTTCAGTCAGAGATGAAGAAAGATACGAAAGACAGGAGAGGTGAGGAAGAAGAGAGGTTATACTATATTTAAAGGTAAGGACTGCTCACTGGTATTTGATAAACTAGAAATGTAAGGCTTATATTGTCACGGCGGGGTGCAGAAGAAGAGGTAGACCCAGATGCAGACATGGTGGAGACAGAACTAGGTTTCCAAAAATAAAGCGAGCCTTTATTGTGGCTGATGGCATGACAAAAACACTAGAGAACACTAAGAACACTGTGTAAACTAAAAAGACTGACACTCTGTGGAAGAACTATGAAAAAACTATGAACACAGAGTAACTAGGCAGGCTATGAAACAGTGACACAATAACGGAAACTATGAAAAGATGAGGTGAGGATAACAGACAATCTGACACTGACTGAGCAGAAACACACGAATTAAGTACACATAAGGAATGATCAGGGGGGGAGGAGGCAACCCCCCCTCTGTCCCCTTCTGGCTGCCTCTGCCTCAATTTTATCCCACAACTTAGACATTCACATTACTCACACTCTCATTACACATGCATATAGGATCTTGGGGGTGGACACGCTACACGGAATCCAAATTACCATCAGGGTGTACACCTCACCCCTGGCGTCGTTGCCCACCTCTCAATTTTAAATACATGTAGACATTGAGGGCTAGCAGGAGGGGCTATGCGCTTACCTGCTGCTCTCTGACAGGTAGCTCCATGCCCTCCTGGGTTTTAAATGCACCTTAGAACACACATGCATCAACACTACAATGAGCGGGTGGAGGGAGGTTTGGAGTCTTCTCTCACCCCGTTCTCTGCGGCCTGCTGGAGCGGGGGGCTAGGAGGAGGAGTTGGCCCTCCGACTGGGGTCTGAAATGTAGGGCCTCCCTGCTGTGGAGTCGGGTCGGTCTGCTTCTCCCCACCGCAGGGAAAAGGGTAACACCACCTGGGTCTGGGGGCAGTTCCCCCCCTCCAGGGGCAATGTACCTAGACCCGGTTCGTAGAGTACGCTTTATGTCTGTCTCCACGTTGGTTGAGTGTGGAGTAAGTGCATATGAGAGCATGAGGGTGGGAATGGATGTTTGTGTCTGTGTGTGCCTGTATGTCTGTGTCTATATGTCAGGTTGGGTATCAGACGCCACCTCTCTGGGGACACCTCAGGCCCTCCAAGGTTTGGAGGCCTATCTCTACCCACCACCACTTCCCCTGCCGGTGGCGGACTCCCTCAGGTGTCGGTGTGCTGGTGGTTCTTTGTGTCTGGGGGTGGGCGTCCGGGTACACACCGGCTCACTCCTTGGCGGCCGCTTGTCGGGGCCTGGGGCCTGGGGCTCGCTCGGGCCCCCTTTGGAGGTGGGGTGCCCCCGGCCTCTCGGCCTGGGGCTCGGTCACTCAGGCACAGCTGGGGGCCGGCGGACG